GGAATTGCACTGGTCCCCCCACCTTGGCTTCATATGGAAGGTGTATTGCTAGATGCTCCATCGAATCAAAAAAGGAAGGAGGAAAGATTCTTTCAAGTTGGCATATTGTTTCTACAATCTTGCCTTGCCAAATCTCCATATCTGTAACCCAAATTGTTGGAGAACATAAGGCTCTAAAAAACTCACTAATCTCAGTAAGTGCTTCCCAAACTTGCTTTGGTAGAAAATCACGGAATGCAATTGGAAGGAGACTTTGCATGAATATGTGACAATCATGACTCTTCATCCCACTAACTTTCGCCTCTTGCATGTTCACACACCGAGAGATGTTGGATGCAAAACCATCAGGAAATCTAAGATTCTGTAGCCATTGACACACAGATTTTCTTTGCTCCCTGTTCAAGACATAAGTGGCATTCGGTTTTTTACCCGCATTAGAGCCTGTTTCTGGTATACAAAGACTTGGCCTATTACAATACAATTCCATATCCATCCTTGCCTTCAAGTTGTCTTTCGTCAATGGGTCATCCATGACGGTATGAAAGATATTATCAAAAAAAATTTTCTCACAGTGCATGACATCAAGGTTATGACGGATTAAATTTGTGCTCCAATACGGAAGCTCCCAAAAGATACTCCTTTTAACCCAGTTATGCCAATGACCAAATCCTTCGATCACTTGCCTTTGTGATGGTTTCCCAAATAGTATGTCGGGCAATTGTTGAATTTGTTGATGCATATCATCACCCGACAATCTCTCTGGTGGAGCACGATTCTCTACATGACCTTTTTTAAAATCATTCCTATTTCTCCTGAATGGATGATCGGGAGCTAAAAACTGTCGGTGACAATCAAAAAATGATATCTTTCGACCATTTGGAAGGTGGAATGCCTTAGAATTATCTTGACAATACGGACATGATAATCTACCATGTGTGCTCCATCCAGATAACATACCATATCCAGGGAAGTCAGTAATCGTCCACATAAGTGCTGCTCTCATAATAAAATGTTCATGCCTAAAACTATCATATGTCTTCACCCCGTTATACCAAAGTTCCTTTAATTCATCAATCAGTGGCCGTAGCATAACATCAATGTTTTTTACAGGACTTTGAGGACCTTGTATTATCAGAGAAAGAAAGATGGACTCTGGTTTCATACACATTGATGGAGGTAAGTTGTAGACAGTCAAAAATACAGGCCAACATGAATACGGGGCTGATGTATGTCCAAATGGAGTGAACCCATCTGTGCACAATCCAAGCCTTACATTCCTTGGATCTGATGCAAAGTCGGGGTAGATGTGATCAAAGTGTTTCCATGCTTCAGCACCGGCAGGATGCACAATCTTTTCAGATACACCACGACAATTCAAGTGCCATATCATGTGTTCAGCAGTTTTTCTACACATGTACAACCTTTTGAGTCTAGATGTAATCGGGAGATACCACAATGACTTCCTTGGTATATGTTGATTTTGTTGCACATGTCCCTGTTTATACCGAGGTTCACCACATATTGGACATGCGATGTAGTTTTTGTTTTCAAATTCACCATAATACAAGAAGCAATTATTCACACACACATCATACTTCTTATAACCCAGACTGAAATGCCTCATCATCTTTTTAGCACTGTAAAAATCTTTTGGAATTCTATCCCGATCCTCTGGCTTCATCCATCTCCTAGTACACTTTAACATATAATCCCAATTAGCGACACTCATATTGTAAAGTGTCTTTGCATTTATAAAATGAGACATCCATTTTAGTACTGTATCACCATCATCACATCCATCATAAAGTGGCGTGTTAGTAGCTTGTAAAAGATCAAAAAATTCCTTTGCATCACCCATTGCCTCCTCAAAGATTGGCTCCGCACTGGCTTGTTCATTCATATTATATTCTATACCATGTAGATTTGCATCCATAACCATATCTCTAATTGGATCATTACCTTGTTCTTCCATCACAAA